AGAGCTGTGAGACAGTGAACTCCTGTTCAAGCTGCGCAGTCTGTGGAGCTTTGTTACAGCTACCCCAGGAAGCTGGGAAACACATGCCTGAAAAGAAGTCACATCACAGACTTAGATGATAGCAGACGTTAACCCCACTTGCCCCATGCACACCTAAGCAGTGGCTGCCAAAGGATGTGGGAATGAGGGCACCTTCTGGGGACAAGAGCACCCTCTGAGGATGAGGGAACCTTCTGGAGATGAGAACACTCTCTAGGAACAGGGGTACCCTCCAGGGACAAGGACACCCTCTGGGGACAGGGGCACCACCTGGGGACAAAGACATCTTCTGGGGATGAGAACACTCTCTGGGAACAAGGATGCTCTCTGGAGACAAGGGCACCCTCTGGGGACAGGGACACTGGGGACAAGGACACTTTCTGGAGATAAGGACATGCTCTAGCCCCAACCTTCTGGGGACAAGGATGCCCTCTGGGACAAGAGCACCCTCTGAGGACAAGGACATACTCTGGGAACAATGACACCCAATGGGTACGAGTACACCCACTGGGGACATGGGCACTCTTTGGGGACAAGAACACCCTCTGGGAACAAGGACATCCTTTGGGGACAAAGACACTGTCTAGAGACATGGGACCCTCTGGGGATGAGAATGTCCTCAGGGGACAAGGACACCCTCTGGAGACACAGCACCCTCTGGGGACAAGGATATCCTCTGGAGACATGGCATCCTCTGGGGATGAGGATGACTTCTGGGGACAAGGGTACTGGGTTCTATAACACCCTCTGATGACAAGGATACCCTCTGGAGACACGGCACCCTCTGGGGATGAGAACTTCCTCTGGGGACAAGAGCAAGAACATTAGGGACGAGAACACCCTCTGGGGATGAGAATGCCCTCTGGGACCAGGACAACCTCTGTGGCAGGCAGAATGCAGCACTCTGGTGGGCGGAGACTGCTCCAGACCTTCCAGTACCATTCTGCATGAACCGAGTTCACTCCACCCTGAGAGTCTTGTCAGCCCTGAATGTCCTCACCAGGCCTGGATTCCAGGTGCAAGTTTAGCAGAGCCTTAACTCAAGGCCTTATCAAGTAGAAGGAACCTTTCTTCATTGCCAAGGGACAGTGCAGTTTAATTCTTTTCTATTTAGGGCTTGGTTTCATTTTCTTGTATCTCTTTTCCCCCCGTTACCTTTAATTAAAAACCTTCCGGAGAGTCAGAGTGAAGAAGTGACCCTTTGTACACATGGAGACCACTTATATTCAAAAGATGCTTTCGTGAAACCAAGTGAAAAGATAAATGCACCTGGAATATTGACCTAACATAGTTGTTTGCTCTTCTTCTGCCAGTTCTGGTGCAGAAACAAGCAGCTACTTTACAGGAGCAGGGCTCAGAGCTGGCTGTCACAGTGTGTGGTGGGATGCACTTTCCCAGCTGCTCTGGCAGGGGGCGGGGGGCACAGCCAGCTGCCTCCCAACCCACCAGGCCTGCCCCGCCTGGGTGTAGACGTTGGACCAGAGCAGGCCCATGAAAGGCCCCAATTCAGAGTAGCCTCTCTCTCCCCAAAGCCTTGCTTGGCCATGACAGTGGGCTTTTGTGGGGCCCTGGGGCGGAGGCTGAGGTAGGAAAAGCTTTATGAAGGTGGCGTTGGCGGCAGTTGGGCAGGGACAGTGACTAGTTGGGGGTTTAATGCATCTGCTGCAGATGTGGAATCCAAGCAGAGGCTGCATTGTAAGACAGTGACTCATTTTCGAGTTGCTGAATCTTCACATTTCCACGGCAGGGTGCAGCCAGCCCTTTAAGGAACCTAGACTCATCCTGGCTCAGCTCAAAGTTTGCAATAATGCAAGTCAAGCGTTGCAAACCATTATGAAGGGTGCTGGTGAGGCCCTGGCGGCTCTCCGTGGACGTCGCGTGGCGTTCCAGCTGCAGTTGCAACACAGGCCGTGAGGTTTTCACAAGCGCACCCCTGCACGTCCTTGGGCGCCGCTTGCTGCAGACACTCTTCCTGACCCAGTTCCCAGACTCATGGGTTTGCCTTCCTGGGACTTTGCACTTGGCTCCCTTCCAGTTATTACATCTTTCCTTGTCTCTTGCACGCCCAGCATCATGGGTGTTTTTGATCAGAGGTCCACGTTGAAAGGAGCTTTGCAGAAGAGTTTTGTTTGACCATCACACAATTTCTGATTATTCAGATTTCACATCTGGGACTCTCTGGGGTCCAGGTGTGAACTCGGACAGACTAGGCATCAGTCTCAACAGTGAACCCTTCCCTTTGGTCATCTTGCAGACACCAATGGGTTCGGCCACGACTGTACAGGACGTTCATGAAGTGCTTCCAAGAATGTGCCGTGAGTTCCTGCTTAAGAGCTGATGCCACCCTGCCCATGACAGTCCATGGAGGATTCGGCTAAAAACCCGACCTTTCCCCAAAGTGCTTTAATTTCTGCATATTCACTGGCATATGTTACATAAATCACTGAATAACATCTGTGAAATTCAGTAACTCTGTGTCATGTTCTGTTCAGGTGGTTCGCATTTGTGCCTGATATTGGGGCCAATTCCAGGGATTGCACCATTCAGAATACCAGGTGCTTGGAGATAGAATGTTCCACGCTGTTCTTCTTTACCTGGGAGCTTGGTTTTAAGGGATTGAATGACGTCATGGGAGGCATGATTGGTTTCCAGTAATCTTTTTACTTTAGGATAATTTAGATCTATAGAAAAGTCGTGGCAGTGGTACACAGAGTTCCCGCGTGCCTCTCCCTGGGCTGCCCTGTTGCCCATGGCTTTCACTGGTGCGTCTGCCACGCGGTGGTGGCACGTCTTTCTTGACTGAAGTCCACGTGATTTGCCTTTCCTTCATTTTCACCTGATACCCTGGTTTTTGTCCCAATAGTTCATCCAAGGCACCACTTGACATTTGGTCTTTGCTTCTTGACTCTAATTGTACTTTTGACATGCTCGATCCAGACATTGATCCATTATAGCCAGCCGCCCTTGCCTTTCTGTTTTCTATTACATGTTTTCTTTAAGCCTCGGAAAACTCTCAAGGAGTTGAGCCCATCCTACGTGTGTGTGCGTGGGCACACTCACCAGCGTGTCACCTGCACAGAGGATGTGTGACTACCTAGAGCTGTGTCCTCTTTTCTGAGGTCCTGAGGGTTGCCAAAGGTGGCGTATCCAGGCTCTCCCTGGCGGTGCGGAAAGCCGAGAGGCCTTTCTTTGGCTCCTTTGGCTAAATCCAGCTGACTGACAGGGATGCTGCCTGTCTTGGCCCTCAACAGCAGGCTGGGGTGGAGCGTGTCCCCCAAGTGAAACCAGACGACCCAGGATGGGCACCTAGGATATGTGGCCAGGCCCATATCCTAGGGACTGTGACCCGTCCCCCCAGGGAGTTTGGGTATAGCAAGGTTGACACAGTCATTTGGTCAGGAGCCACGAGTGCCTGTGAGGTGCAGGAACACTTGCTGGGCAATGTTTCCGGGGTGACGCCCATGGTGGTGGCCCCTAAGCTGGAGTTTCCAGCGTCCCCGGGCTTCCCTATAGTGGGAGTGGACATGCAGGCCTCCGCCATAGGAGACTGTCATCCCCTTTGTCGTCCTGTCCTTGGTGGCCCTGGCATGTGGGGGCAGTCCTCCCCTTCCACCCATCCGTGAGGTCTCGGGAGTGTTCCACTGTCGTCCTGGTGGCCCTGGCATGTGGGGGCATCCTTCCCTTCCACCCATCCGTGCGGTCTCGGGAATGTTCTTCACATCCTGTTCTCCCTGTGGAGCCAGAGTCTCCCTGTCTGGGCCGGATCGGATGGTGTCATCAAGCCCTTTTAAGTCCTCGTCCATTCATCATGTGATGCCATGCACTCCTGTCTGGTGCCGCCTTCCTGTAGAGTTTGCATTTTTGAAAACCTAATCATAAAATGGATGCTTGTCCAGAAGGTGGCGTGTTGTATGATTCTGTGTATCTAAAATGTCCGGAGTAGGTAACACCTTAGAGACAGAAGACAGACCCGTGGTTACCAGGAGCTGGGGCAGGGGGATGAGATGATTGCTGGGGGGAGCAAGGTTGTTTTTTGGCGGGTGATGAAATGTTCTGGAATCTCATGGCGGCGATGGTGGCACAACCTTGAGAATGTACTAAAAACCACTGAATTGTACATTTTTAAATGGTGAGTTTTATGGTGTGTGAATTATGTATCTCACACACCATAAAAAATGGATACTTGTTCACAGTAGAGACATTTAAAATAAAATGAATTTCACCTGTAATTTCAGATGCCTAATGGTAGCATTTTGATGTGTGTGTGGTGGTTTTTGTTGTTATTGTAATTTCTTGTTCATTTTTCAGACGAGGGTGGGGTGGGATAGAGGGTGATCTTCTTATCTTACCCCCTTTTTGGGCCAGGAGAACCAGAACCTTCCTAGGCACTGCTGAAAATGCAGGCTGTGTCCTTGTTCCTGTCCCCCAGTGTCACATTGCTTGTCTGTTTTCTATCCTGTCTTGACTGAGGACAGCCATTCCGAGCTTCAACTTTATGAAGTGTAGGAAGATGGTGTTTTAAAATTTCAGGATGTAGGTGGTGTCCTTATTTGGTAGTTAGCAAGCAGTAACAGAGCCTAGTTTTATTGAAATACAAGGTGTCCGTTTTTTTTGTTTGTTTGTTTTTGAGTTGGAGTCTCAGTCTGTCGCCCAGACTGGAGTGCAGTGGCCGCTCCCGGCCACCGCAGCCTCGACTTGCCGGGCTCCGGCGATCCTTCCGCCTCAGTCCTCCAAGTAGCCAGAACTACAGGCGCGCGCCACCATGCCCGGCTGATTTTTTGAGTTATTGTAGAGATGAGGTCTGCTGCCCAGGCGGGTCTCGAACCCGCGGGCTCAGGCAATACACTCACCTCAGCCTCCCAAGGCGCGGGATTACAGGCTGAACCACCGAGCCCGGCTACAAGGTGTCAGTTTTAAGGATCTCGGTGATTGGACATCCTGGCTCTGGTGACGTATCTGCCATGCAGAATAGTGACACTTCACGGGTGGTCATCCCCATGTGTGAGTTGGGAGCTGGCTGGGAAGAGCTCAGAACCTTTTCTGCAGTGGAATGGAATGGGAGCTTATTTTTCTTAGGGGTGAGTGTTTATTTGACCGTTTCACATCATGAGTCACTCCCCAAGCCGTGAATATTGTTATGCCGCTTTGGGTGTGTGCACATGGTGAAGTGTGTTTGGTTTCACGTGGTCTCCCCACATTTAACCGTGCTGAGTGACGGGCGGTGCCACGTGCTGAGGGAAGACTCCAAATCCAGCCCCGAGTCTGGAATTCTTAGCAGAAGCCTGTCGCCTGCCCTGCACGGCCTGTGCTTCCTCTGCTCCGTGGCAGCTGGGACTTCTGCCCAGGTTGGGGCGATGAGGCCACCCGCCCTCCCCCAGGGGTGCGGCCTGCTGTGGGGAGGTGAATACTTGCCGCTGCTAACCTGGGAGGAGGTGGGCCATTGTATGGAAGAGGTGTGGGCTTGGCCCTCCAGGGCAGGGATGCTGGACCGACATGGTGGTTGAGAGTGGACGTGCCAGGGCCAGGCCACTGCCCGTTCATGTGCCTCACAGTGTGGGGCAGGGACTTGGCCCTTGCATTGGGTCTCGGGCCGGGTGGGAATGCGTTGCTTCAGGAGTTCTCTAATTCTGAATGGAATACATAATTATCAAGGACCTCAATCTGGAAGCAGCTACAGAAGTGTTTTATTTTGCCAGCCAGTGCTTGGGTGCCTTTCTCCCTTCCCCTCCCCCTCCCTCCCTTACTGACGCCCAGACTCATTCACCTGTTTCCTTCACCTGTTCTTGCTTCGAGGTTTTTGCATTTGCTGTTCTTGGGATAAGCTTAAAAATCGTGTCACTGTTATATCAAACCCGACACTGTAAAATCCCTATAGAGGTCACCAGAATGTCTTACTCCTCTGTAACTTCTACCTGCAAGGTGCAGTTGTGCTAGGATACCCTTGTCTTTGCATAACAAGGGAATTAAAGGCTACTGATGGGAACACTTGTCTAATGTGTGTCTTGGTTTCTTTTCTCCCAGGTGAAGTGGAGGTTCCGGACCTCAGCGACCCTTTGGGACAACTTGATGGACAGGACAGCCCAATCCCAACTCTGAAAGGTGAGCTGGGACATGCAGGTGCTTCTTGGGTTTTCCGAGTGTCCTGTGGCTTCCCAAACCTGCTGCTTCGACTCAGGTTTGGCCTGCCAGAAATCCTGGGGGTGGGACCCCTGGGCCAGTGCTGCCCTGGTGGTGGGCCTGGCAGAATGGGAGGGAATAGGTGGGGAGGGTGTGGGCCGGAATGGGGGGAAACGACCTTGGGGTGCTCAGGGGTCCTAGTGCAGCCCTAGGAGCTAGACTTTTGTTGGTTGTAAGCAGCCTGCTGGCAATCATCTCCCTACCAATTTTATTTTTCTGGATTTAGTATTCTGGCGTGCATGTGTACCTTAGGCAGGTGCCCTTCTCCTCACCCCCACAGGGAGCATTTTTTCTGCCCTGTGGCCTCTCCCTTCCCCGAGGCTTGCGGTGAGAGCCTAGCTCACTTGACATGCCTCACACTCAGGCATCAAGGATTTGTAGGGTTGGTAACGCAGGCGCCTCTCAGGTGCAGACTGTTCTGAGGAGATGACGCCTTTTCAAATCCGTACACTGTCACCTGAGTCATAGACTTAGCTCGGCTGCCACGGCACTGAAACAGACAGGTGTGTTCTCACAGTTCTGGAAGCGGGAAGTCCCAGATTAGAGTGCAGCACCTGGATGCGGATGTTCTTTGGGAAGAGGGTGGCAGCCCGTGTTTTGGATACCTGGGGTGGGGTGCAGCCTTTCCTGTGGGCTGAAGCAGACCCTGGAGAGGCTGTCACAGCTGGGGCTGCAGGCACCTGGGATGGACAGGCCAGTGGGTGCTGTTCTTAGATGTGGTGACCAGAGGTATATCCTGCGAGGTGGGATGGCCATTGGCCAGGATGGTCACCCACTCTTGATGCGCTCAGGATGGTGCAGTGCCCATTAGCTGAAACTGAGTAGGAATGTGTGTCCCATCCAGCTACAGGTGCCCTGATTTGACATAAATCCAGTACCTTGAGTGGGATTCTCCTGCTTCTGTGTTTGGTATTGAGCAGTTTCTGGAGCTTGGAAGGGAAACTTTCCAGGGAGCTTTCCGTTTACTGGGATCTCACCCCCTCCTGACTTTTCTTTGAAAACTCGAAGTGCTTGGGTTCAACACTATGTGCGTTCAGTACGTCCCCAAGGCCAAAAGGAGCTTCCATCAGAGTTTGGAAGTTTGCCTGGAACCTCTCCAGGGCATAGACACACTGATTGCCGAGGTGACCTGTCAAATGTGTGTGTATTTGTATGTGTTCATGCACAATTATTTACAAAGATAGTATAACAATAAAGCACAGAACCACCAGAAAGCCAGGCCATGTTTCTTTGCAGTGGTGGTGCAGTGTGATCCTCAGCGTTGTGTGGTGGGTGCAGTGTGGTGTACTGTGGTGCAGTGTGAGGTGGTGTGGCATGGTGTGATGTATTGCGGTGCTGTGGGTGCAGTGTGATGTATTATGAAGCAGTGTGGTGTAGCGTGGTGCAGTGTGGTGTGACGTGATGTGGTGTGGTGTAGTGTGATTGTGGTGCACTGTGGTGTGGTGTGGCATATTGTTGTACAGTGTGACACAGTGTGGCATAGGGTGGTGCAGTGTGGTACTGTGTGGTCCAGTGTGAAGCAGTGTGGTCCAGTGGTCTGGCGTGGCGTATTGTGGCATAATGTGATGAAGTGTGGTGAGGTGTGGCACAGTGTGGTATAATGTGGTGTTGTGTGGCAAATCATGGTAGAGCGTGATACAGTGCGCTGTAGTGTAAGACACTGGTGTGTGTCATGCCATGTGGTGTTGTGTGGTACAGTGTGTTGTAGTGTGGCATAATGGTGTAGCGTACTGTTTGGCGTTGTATAATGCCTTGTGATACTGTGTGGCATAGTGTGGTACAGCGTGGGATAGTACGGTACCTTGTGGTGTTGTGCAGTGTCGTGTGGTGCAGTGTGGTACGTTGTGGTCCCGTGTGGCATCGTGTGGTGCGTGTGGTGGTGTGTGGTGTCGTGTGGTCGTAGGGTGCAGTGTTGTTCAGTGTCGCAGCAGCTCTCAGCTGGCCTTGTAGCAGGACAGGCGCCATGGGCAGTGGCCCCACCCTTCCTGAGTGGCCCTGGAACGACCCTGCCCTTGCCCAGTCTCAGGACGGGTCCCCAGGAATGAGGGGTGGAAGGGCTGGCAGAGCTCGGGCGGATGTCAGAGGCGGCAGTCAACGCTGGTGCCACCTCCTTGTGTCCCAGTCCTGGGCGTGGTGGATCTTTAAACCCCGGGGACAGGACCCGTGGCCACCTGCCCCGAGTCTCAGGGTGGCTGGGACCCGTCTCTCCTTCGCCTTGGACCTTCCGGCTCTGCCTGGTGGTTTCCCCTCTCAGGGTCTCACCATGCCTGTCCTTTCTGCTCAACACCAGTGAGGCAGGAGTAGCCTGACCATGCCAGACCCTTACCTCTGCACTGTTTTTCTCCTGGAGCTTCTGGGCGTGGCACTGCTCGGCCACATGTGGCTCAAATCTGATCTATAAATCATAGTTGAGCACCACATGAGCTGCATTTTAAATCCAGCCACCGTGTTTGCCGCACCAGCATCGGCACGCTCGCTGGCTGATGCACATGGCCTGTGGACTCATCGGTCAGTGGTGGGAAAGCTCTCCCCTGGCCTGAGTTGAGTAGGATCCAGGAGAGGACGGGAAAAGGTGTGCTTGCCCAGGTGCACTGTACCCGCAGTGAGCATGCAGCATATATTTGGTAGTTGGTGTTGGGATTGGGAGAGGAAATCCTGGCGGAAAAAGCCCACACTGAGGGGTCGTGACCCATAGAGGAGCAGGTGGCTTGGCTTCAGCTCTCATGTGACAGTGTGGCCATTGTCAGGACGACAGGCTGCATGGGACTCGGCCATGACACCGGTTAACCTGTGAGTGAATGTTTAACATGGAGCTCTGTTTCTTGTTACATTAGACATGCCTTACACACCCACACTCATTCAGTTATTACATTCCTTACAAAAGCTTGCCTTTGACCTAGAAATTGCTGCTCTCATGCTCCCAGTCCGTGCTGTGTGTGCACGTGACCGGCCTCTCATGTCCCGTAAGCTCGGTGCTCTGGGATGTTTGTGGAGATAGGTAGTTGCTGAAGGCCAGTGGGTGGTGTGGACACCCCTCACCCCGCTGGCCTCCCTTTTTGACTCCGCCCAAACACTCTGGAGCCAGCCTCTGCCTTTGCCCCAGGAGGACACGCTGCAGTGATAGTTGGTCCCCAGTGGGTCCTAGTTCCAGGTGGTCGGCCAGTGCTTTTTGCTTCCTGGTCTGTCCCCTGCTGTCTGTGGCATGTCAGCCTGTTGTGCTGGACTCGGCTTTCCTTGGAGAGAGAAAACCAAATAGCCAGTCGCGGTCCCTGTTGGCACTGGCATGGGGACCATGCATGTTGGCCTCTGTGGACTGTCCCCATTCATGTAGGTCGTGGGTTGATTCATGAATGTGCTGCTGTGTTGTGCTTCCTTCCCGAGTGCTTGGCACATGCATGTGTGTGGTGGGTATGTGTGTGCACAGCAGTCTCCTAGGTGTCAGGTAGAGCGAGGCACTCCAGGGCTAACCAGGTAGGGAACGGAGGTGCCATCGCGCTCACAGACAGCACTCATCTGTGGCGTGAGTGAGCACTTGGGTCCAGCCTCAGGATGCGCAGTGTGAGACCTCAGTGGCTTCTGCCTGCCAGTCCCTGAGACTTTTCAAGCTCCTGGATCTCAGTCTGCAGAGTGAGCAGGATGGGAGTTAGCAGCTCTGTGCATGGAGGTGGCAGTTGTACGTCCGATGCTCAGTTCCCCCAGGCTCTGGGGCGTGAATGTTGGTGTCCTGTGCTTGTTGTTCCCTTAGAATGGGGGCACGCCCCGGACAGGGTGTGTTGTTCAAGTGCCCAGACCAGAGCATGAGAGGCGCTGTCCACATCAACAGAGCCTGGGGTGGGCCTGGCGCTGACCACCAGCAGGCAACCTGGATGAAGATCCTTGAGGAACACCCCCCCGCCGGTGTCCTATCCCAGAGGTACCATGAGACACCCTTTTCCGATGTGTGGGGGACACGCCATGAGCCCCTCTGTACACCAGTAGCTCAGAGGAGAGACTGTATTGGAGCCCACCCCAGCTAGTCAGTGCAGGACTGGCAGGTCCAGCATGCCTCTCAGGAACCCAGATCCTCCCTCGGGAAGCCAAGGGACACCAGGAACATGGCAGATGGCAGGCTACTTCCCAGGGCCATCGTGGGCATGCACGGGGCTCAGGGTCCACATGCGTGCCACCTTGTCTGGGGGCTATAGGGAACATCTACGCCTGGGCAAAGTGCAGGAGTCCTCGGGCTGTGAGAAGAGGTAGCTGGCCAAGCGTGAGACATTCTCAGGTCCCAGGTCAGCTTGGCCCCTGTCTGCTTGCCCCCGAGGAAACCGCCACACAGCTCTAGGTGAGCCTGTCCCTCAAGCGGGTTCCAGCATCCTTGACCCCGCCATTGGCTGTGAATCTACAGACCCCTTGGGCTGTCTGGGTGTGGCCCCACTGGCCGTCGTTGGGAGGAAACTCCAGTGCACAAATAGGAGAGTTCCAAGTGCACACAGCTGGGGTGGGCACCTGAGCCAGCCTGGGGCCTGGGCCCACAGCAGCCTCCTATGCTGGGGAGGCTGGTTGCTGCCTCTGGGTCTTCTCTTTTGCTGCTTCTTCTCCATCCCTGGAGCCCTGTCTGCCCCTCTCTTTCTTCCAGGAGTAGAGTCCCGACTCCCTGTGCTTGGCAGGTGGAGTCGCCCTGAGGGGCGGCCATTTCCCGCCCATCTGGTCATCCTGCCGACACTGCTGTCCCTCCTCCTGCAGGGGGCAAAGTAGACAGCAGTGACTCCTCCTTGGCTTGCTGGGTTTGAGACTGCTGCAGGGGGCTGGGCATGCCTGTCTGTGTCTGTGTCTGAGGGTTGTGGGGGTGTGTATGCACCGTGTCCCTGTTACCCTGAATGTAGGAGTTAGCCTGAGGGCTGTCTCCCTCCTAGAACCCCCTTTCTCTTTTCTTCAGTCCC